GGAAGTCGCTCACCTTCCATGAGGCTTAAACAACAGCCTCTGACTAATCTGCTAAGTCGTAGCTGGGTCGCCATCTGCGTCATGGAGGGAGCTCTGACAAGAGTCACAGATCCTTCCTGAGCCTTTGTGTAAAAGTAAAGCTAAGCCTTGTGGTTTCCAGGGCCATCTTTACCCCTGTTCAGACATGTGCACATAAAAAAAAAATTGGACTCATGATTTCATCAGTGAAGGGAATTTCCCCTTAAGGTCTCTCTTTACCGAGGCATATTGGCTCTCCTTCTGCATCTTAGGGTCTCAGAGAGTTTCTTGGGGGCACAGATTTTGCATGCTGTTCCCAGCGTTAGAAAGCCTGCCTGTGTGTGCAGAGGTGGAATTGGACCCCAGATCTCCCTATCTCTCTAGCCACCACCCCATACAGTCTTTAACATTTCTATCAAATTTCAGCCACTTCCTTGTGATTTCAGTAACCAAAGGGTAGTAATGATGATAAGCATGTAAATAACGCTTAAGGTTTCCTGAGTGCTTTGCATGTGTTCTCATGTGATTGCCTTAGGTACTATTATCATGCCATTTTACAGATGAGGAAATTGAAGCTGGGAGAGTTTAAATGACTTACTCAGGGCCATAAAGCTGGATTTGAACTCTGGTCTAACTCACTCCAAGGTCAGTGCTCTTCTCACTGTGCCACGTAGCTTGCTAGGCAGAGGACTCAGTAGGTGGCTACTCTTTGCTGGACATTGTGCTACATGTGGGATCTGTACAACTTCTTCCTTTTCCTTGCCCATTTCTCACTTTGCTCTCCCCCTTGTTCCCAGCCTATAGACACAATGCATGGATTTTCTCTCAGATTCAGAACAGGTTGGACTGGTTATGTGCAAAAACTTGTCCTTAAAGAATTCTCCTTAACACTAGGGTCATGGCATCACCCAACCTAAAGGTATGGGGGGAAAATGGACTCTGGTCACAAGTAATTATGAAGCCCCAAGCAGATGATAGAGCACGACAAGAGAGATGAGGACCAGCCTGAAGAGGAAAGGGAGTTAGGACTGGTGAGGGGAGGTAGCCCCAAGTACAGAGTCAACTCGCTCGTGGAGCCTCTAAATCTGGGCACTTTGAGGGGAGGACGAGAAGAATGGAAGCGAGGAAAAGCAGCTTGCTGGAAATCACCAAAGAAGTCACCTCCACTGTGGCATTTGTCCTTGTGGGTCTAATATTTGATGTTGGGAGGGGGTCTTATTCACAGTGGCTGTCACAAGCCTCTTAGGGAGCTGAATGCTGTTTGGTGACATCAAGAAGGTTGAAACATGGAGGCTGTGGTCCTATCAAGCAACAGGCAGGTAGGGCTGCCCTTGCCGGTGCCCCTGAGTGTAGGGAAGGCAAGCAGATGTACCCTTCTTTGTGCCCTCTTCTAGTCTGCCTCTCTCGATGTTGACCACATCTGATGGGAAGAACGTTAGTTACCTTGGGGAATGAGGTTCAAAAGAGGTAGTATTTATAAAGACTTAACACAGCCCTTGGCATGCAGTAGGTGCTGTATAAATGCTTATTCCTTTCCCCCACTGCCATCCAGTTTGTCAAATTCAAATAGAAACAGTCACTGAGCCATACTTAAAGATAGATCCCTGCAGGCTGTGGGCTGACTAGAAAATCATACGTTAACATTTTCTTGTTATTGTTCAAGGGCAGCTAGGTGGCTCCGTGGATTGAGTTCAAATCTGGCCTCAGACATTTACTATCTGTGTGACCCTGGACAAGTCACTTAACCCTGTTTGCCTCAACAAGTTGTTCAGTCATTTCAGTTGTATCCTACTCTTCAGGACCCCATTTGGGGTTTTCTTGGCCGAGATACTGGAGTGGTTTGCCATTTCCTTCTCTAGCTCATTTTACAGATGAGGAAACTGAGGCAAACAGGCTTAAGTGACTTGTCCAGGGTCACACAGCTAATAAGTATCTGAGGCCAGATTTGAACTCAGGAAGATGAGTCTTCTTGACTTTAGGCCTGGCACTCTACCCACTACGCCACCTAGCTGACCTATTAAATGAGACTAGGAGTAGTAGTTAGACAGGTGAGCCAAGGCAGGAAGGCAAGGGATGAGGAAAAAGGCCCAGAAGGAGGGTGGCCAACATTGTCAAAACCTTCAAAAATTCAAGAAAGATCAAAGCTGAGCAAGGGCCGTTGGATTAAGAAATGAAGAATTCATTGGTGACTTTTGAGAGGGTGGGTTCATTTGAGTGGTCGAGATCCAAGAAGGGCAGGGAAGTAGATGGTGAGGATGTGGAGAGAATGTGTGTTTGGTACTCTTTTTTAGAAGCTTAGCAGTGCAATGAGAGGTATAGGATGATATTGCGAGGGGACAGTTAGCAAAGTCAAAGGAAGTATGTGGAGAGGGGAAAAAAGTTTGCCCTTTCTGCAAGATTTCAAAAAATCTTGTCATATTTTAAGAAACCTTGTTAGCGAATGTTGTGAACAGCAATTGAAGTTGGTGACTGTCAGCCTCAGAACCATTAAAATGAGTGAGTCCGATTTAAGTAGACAAAACGATCCATTTGTAAGAAGGTTCTATTATCAGGATTTGGGATCCTGTCTGCTGTGGGCTAATTTCATGCTTTTTTTCCCCCTACCAAATGCTACCTGGAAAGGAGAGTATTTATAATATTTCCACGTAGAAGTCCTAGAATATTGTATTTTCTCCCCTAGGACAATGATGTCAAATTCAAATAGAAACAGGTCTTTGCAGGTCACATATTGACTTAGAAAAACATGAACTAACATCATTTATATTTTATGTTTATTTTGTTAAACATTTCGCAATTACATTTATATACTGCACTGTGGAAGGTTGCTGACTCCTCTCCCCTAGAAAAAGAAAGAAATGTTAATATCCTAGGGTCAGAGGTTACCAGGGACCTTAGAGGTTGTGACTTCCCCAGGGTTATACAGCTACCAAGTACCTGAGACAGGATTCAAACCTAAGTCATCCTGTGTTCTACCCGGGACACCATGCTGCCTCGAACGTTCCATTACAATTAGTTATGGTTTACTTTTACTTTTCTTCTTTTTTGAATTGGACTTGTAATTTCATTGCGGGAGGGATCTCCTGGTGAGGACATACTGTTTTGGATTTTATCATCCTAGAGAGTTTCCTGGTGCCACTGAGAAGTTACATAATTTGTCCAGGGTCATAAAGTCAGTATGGTACAGAGGTGATACTTGACTCCACTGGACCAGGAGTCAGGAAGACCTACATTAAAATTCAGCCTCAGACACCCACTAGATGTGTGACCTTAGGCAGGTCACTTAACCCATTTGCCTGTTTCCTCATCTATAAAATGGGGATAATAATAGAACCTACCTCCCAAGCATTTTTGTGAGATAATAATTATAAAGCACCTAGCATAGTGGCTGGTACATAAAATAAGCACTATATAAATATTAGCTATTATTGTTATTTTTGTCTCCTTTTGGAGACAGACTAGGCTAGCTCACTTTACTACTCCATACCATCTAAAATTTGTTTTTTAGATTCTTTGAAGGCTCTAGGATGTTTTTCAACCACATGAACACTCCTTTCACTGATAGTTGTTGGAAACTCTCCTATCTTGACTTTTTATCCCACATCATTCCTGCCCCTGTTTCCCCATACATTCTCTACAGCAGAGGTATCAAACTTTCAGGCAAAACTACTGATTATAGCCAGAACTTGACTAGTAATTGGGAAATGTTTAACAAAAAAATACAAGGCAACATGGATATTGTGAATCTGTGGTTTTCTAAGTCAATATGCGTCCCACAGGCATCCTTTTCTATTTGAATTTGACACCACTGTTCAAGATGACGGGCATCTTCTGTTGTTCAAAGGCATTGTTTTTTTCATTGGCTTAGTTTGTAGATTATAGGAACTTTTCTGTCCTGTGTTTGTAGATCAGTGCATACAAACACACGGCTTTAAATAAACCCCAGTATATAGACACACATGAGCAGCTTAGTACCCACTTAGCATGATTTATGTTCTACTGGTAGAGTCTAGAGATAGGAGTCGGGAACCTGCAGGCTTGAGGAACATGTGGCCCTCTAGGTCCTCACGTGAATCCAGTTGGACTCAATCAAAGGGATGCACTTGAGGACCTAGAAGGCCACCTGTGACCTTGAGTCTACAGTTTCCTCGCTCCCGAGGCCATTCTGAACTCCCGGACACATCCTAGTGCAGGCCCGAATAATTCCTAAATCCCAGGACCTGACAAAAATTCCAGTTAGTTTTTCATTACACAATTTTCAGAAGAAGAGGTCAAAAGGAGCTGGTAGGGCATCCAATTATGGGTTTGAGCATATTGGGAAATGAGTTTTCTTTGACTCAGGTGTACAATATTTTACTTGGGCTTGTTTTCCAAGTGCATTGAGGCCTGACTAAACATTTTGGAGGCACTGCCTCCTTGTAAAGGAGAGGCTGGGGTTTGTTAAATATTCCTTCACCACCCTTGCAGTTGGCCAGTGATGGGTGGCCACGAGCCAGTTGGAGTGCTGGTTCCAGGCAGCAGACAGAAGTGGTGGTGGTGGGGAACTAATCATTAGGATGTTGCTTGTCCCCTCCCACCGCTGAAAGAAGAAGTGATTGGCTCAGCTGGGTTTTCTATCAAACAATTAAGAAAAATTCATGAGGTGGGAAAGTAGGGAGGGGAGGAAGGGTAGGCTGCCTTCAACTGATCTGAGGGCTAAAGGTCCTTTCTCACTTGTTGCAGACCAAATTGAAGCTGGGTTCTGGCTTTTGGGAGAGAGCTCTACATGAGCTAGAGTTTGAATGATTTCAGCCTTCAAGTGGTAAAGAGTAGAGAGTCAAGTGAGAAAGAAAATAAGGAACGAAGAGGAGGGGGAAAGATGTCCAAGGAGGACACCAAAGTGAAGCTTAACAGCTTTGGGGAAAAAAGAAGATCTCGCAGTCATAGTTCTTTGGTTTTCCAGGTTATTCCACCAGTCTTTAACCGTAGCATTTTTACCTCTGCAGTCTCCCCTGCGGCAGAACGTATCCGCTTCATCCTGGGGGAGGAAGATGACAGCCCTGCACCCCCCCAGCTCTTCACCGAATTGGATGAGCTCCTGGCGGTGGATGGGCAGGAGATGGAGTGGAAGGAGACAGCCAGGTGAGGACTTAGTCCGGGAGGCCCAGCGGGAAACAGAGTTGTGTACTGATCCCAAACGTGGGTCCCTGGCAGGCTTTCTAGCCCTGGAGTTTGGGACGGCACACTGTTGGGTAGACACAAGGTGGATGAAGTTATCTTCGCTCATTTTTATCATTCTCTCACCTTCGGATTTCTCTTTGTCATGGATGTGAAATGTACTTGCTATTTTAATTATGGTTCCTTTTATTCCCTAGGACTGTAATTGTTTGGGAGGCATGTAATCTTAGCTGTATAGAGAAATAGAAAGCATCCTATTTCTCTTTTATTTAATGGGAGGCGGTATGGGTAGAGAGCTGACCTAGGAGCCAGGAAAATCTGGATTCTAGTCCCTCAATTCCCAACATGTAACACTGGCTCTGTGACCTTTGGCAAGTTACTTAACCTCTCTGGGCTCTAGGCAATTCTCTAAGACTACATGTTTCAGAGAAGGGGGCTATCTGCATTGGTAGAGAGATCTTCTTTTTTCCGGAGCTCCAATGAAATCACAGGTCCAGTCCCAAACCCCGTGTTATTTAACAGGAAGGTGCTTGGAAAGGCTTCAAGATAGCTCCACGGGTGTTTTCCCCACTCCCTGCCTTCACTTAAAATGATATCCTGGGAGATTTTCCTTTCCTTTCTGCCTGTCTCTCCTTATTGCTAGGATAGATCTTTGAAAATGAGCATTTTATACGATGCATTTTCATTATGTGAACAAAGACAGTGCACATTTTTAGAGTGCTTCAAAGTTTGCAAATAAGATCTCATCTTGTCCTTACAGCAGCCCTAAGAGGTAGGTATCAGTCGTTTCAGCCATGTCCAACTTTTTGTGACTCCATTTTGGGGTTTTCTTGGCAAAGATAATGAAATGGTTTGCCATTTCCTTCTCCAGCTCATCTGACAGATGAGGAAACTGAGGCAGAGTTAAGTGACTTGCCCAGGATCACACAGGTATTTAATGTCTGAGACTGGATTTGAACTAACAAAAGTGAATCTTCCTGACTCCAGGCTCAACACTCTATGGCGCCACCTAGCTGCCTAGGAGCCATTGTTATCGCCCAACATTTTACAGATCAGGAACCTGAGGCAGACAGAAGTCAAATGACTTGCCCAGGGTCACAGAGCTTTTAAGTGTATGGGACAAGTTTCACACGCAGTTCTTCCTTACTCCAAGCCTGCCCTCTATCCACTGAGCCATGTAACTACCACCCAAATCTAAGTATTGAACTTGTCTGCATCTGGGAAGAGTGGAAATCCCATTAGACCTGGGGTCTTTTACACAGGTCTGTCTATTAGCAGGGCTGATGTCAATCATCTCCTTGGCATTCATTTTCTCAGTCCAATTTCTTGTTCTTTCTGCAATCTTTGACACCCTTGTATTTGAGACCCTCCACCTCTATCTGTACTCTCTTCTCCTTGGCTTCTTTCTTTTGCTCTGTTGAGGTCTTCCACGGGCCCATCTGCATGATCCTTCTCCATTTCCAGGGCAGAATCATCCTCTGTGCCCCATCCCCTGTGTGTGGCTGTGCCCTGGCCTCTGTCCTGGGACCTCTCCTCTCTTCCCAGTCCTTTTCTTGGTGAGCTCATCAGTCTCCAGCCTGGCTGTCTCACCTCCTCAGCATCTTCTGTGTCTGCCCTCCTCCCTCCACTCATGCCAGCCCCTTTTGCTCAGCCTAGACCGTCACCATGGTCTCCTTATTGATTCCCCTGCCTCCTTTTTCTTACCCTCCCTGATAGTCCTCAAGTGTAGGTCTGACTGTGTCCCTCCCCTGCTCAGTGGGTCTCTATTGCCTATGGTCTAAAATGCAAATTCCCTTCAAAATTGGACTCTAGCCTCTTCTTCCAGGCTGATTACACAGGCCGTCCCAATGGCCTTAGTGCAGCCCCTCATTCCCATTTCATTCTAGCCAAAGAGGCTTCCTGGGACTTGCCCATGGACAACCTTTCATCTCTTCCTTTGTACAGGAGACATGGGCCATCCCCTACCTCCACAAGTCTGGCATATTTTCCCTTTTCTCCTTGTCCTCTCAGAAGCCCTCGTGTCCTTCAGGGCTTAACCTGAGAGCCACCTCTTAGAAGAGGTCTTTCCCGATCCCCCCCACACCCAGTTTGTCTTGCTTTTGGAAGTCACTTTGTATTTATTTTGTTATATTTTATATATGTATATGTATAGAAGTGTATGTATATATGATTTAACTTTGTGTTTATTTTATTTTATATATATGTATAGATGATATGTGTATGTATATCTATATCGATCTGTACTTATTTCTGCTATATTTATGGGTTGTTTTTTTTGGCAATTGGGGTCAAGTGACTTGCCCAAGGTCACACAGCTAGTAAGTGTCAAGTGTTTGGTCTGAGGCTGGATTTGAACTCAGGTCCTCCTGACTTCAGGGCCGGTACTCTATCCACTGCACCACCTAGCTGCTCCTATATTCATGGATATAGCTATGCCCATCTATATTTCTATCTATCTGCACTTGTTTCTAAGCTCTTGGGCATGGTTTAGGTTTTCTCCCTCTATCTCAAGTGCCTAGCACAGTGCCTGAAACATGTTGGTGCTTAAATGCTTGTCGAATTAGAACTGTGTGATGTAAAAGCCTCAGATGACCCCATCCACCTATAAGGCAGCATTCCTCCCAAGCCCAGCACTGCTATCCCAGAGAAGCCCTACTGTGTTCCACTCTCAGATACTTGGTACTGACGTCTCCCTCATGGAATACTTTATCTGCCTCTATGATGCCAGTTAGCAATGTGATCAAAGTCCATTACCTACCCCATCTTCAGCATGTAGGCCTGAAGCAAGGAGTTGTCCAGAACATTGCTCCATTTTATTGATAAGAAAAATGAAGCAAAAAAAAAAAGAAAGAAAGAAAGGAAGAGAGAGAGAGAGAGAGAGAGAGAGAGAGAGAGAGAGAGAGAGAGAGAGAAAGAAAGAAAGAAAGAAAAAGAAAAGAAAGAAAGAAAGAAAGAAAGAAAGAAAGAAAGAAAGAAAGAAAGAAAAGAAAGAGAAGGAAAGAAAGAAAAAGAAAAATGAAGCAGAGACAAGGAAACTGACCAGTCCAGCCCAGGCTCAGGTCTTCAGCTTTCCCGTACTCCTCCTGGTCACTGGGTGTCGTCACCTCTTTCTAGACCCTGTAGGACATTCATTTATGATCCTTTGGGCACTGTGCATTCAGGTAAACTTTAACCAAGAAGAATTGAGCATGCTTTCTGAGCAGTGACCTGAGAAAGACAGTACCCAGCTGACGATATGAGGATACCAGCCATCATTCTGAGTTCATCCAATAATAAGGTGGACTTATGCAATTTTGGGTGGGCAGTTTTGGCTTTTCAGCCATACTCTGTATTTTTCCTGACTTGCTCTTGGTAACAGAGTGTGGGAAATTTGTGCTCAGAGGAGTTGGATTCAAATTCTGGCTTTGGCTCTTACCGTCAGTATAACTTTTAGTAAATCTCTTAGCCTCTATGGACCTCAGTTTCCTGATCTATAAAATGAGGAGTCTGAACTCTAAGATTATCCATCCATTCCCTCTTTGAACCCATAGTTCCAGCATGCTAAAACCCCTTTATAGTTTAGAGGGTTGTAATGAGTTATAATGAGGTTCTCTTTAAGTATAGGATTGTGTTGGAACAGGATGCAAGATCAATAGTATTTTTCTCCTTTAAAATGACAGCAGAATCGGTTGTGATATGATTTATACTTTACATGTGTTCTGGGATATTATGGGTCATTTTCCCTGAATTTGTGTTAGAAAAAAAAACACATGTAGTTGTTAGTTTTGTCCTTCAGCCCCATGGTGAGAACAACCCTGCACTATTCATTTTCCAGCGAAGTCTGATAAACCTTCCTTCATCAATTTGTACATGCCTTATATAGCATGCATTGTGGGATTGACCCTTTTGATCATTCACTGTACTAGAGAAGAGGGGAAATTTTTGATTTATCCAAACCCTCAAAACTCCTTCCCTCCCTGCCATTTCTTGCTCCCTCATCTTTGATTGAAAAGCCTCTTCACTTTTCAATAAGGGGCAGCATCATGTAATGATTATTAGCATTTAAATAGTTTTATAATATTAGCAAAGCCCTCTACAAATATGATCTCATTTTTATCCTCATAAAAACGCCAAGGAGAGGGTAGGTGCTATTATTAACCTCATTTTACACATGAGGAAACTGAGGCCATCAGCGGTTAAGTGACTTGTCTAGGGTCATACATACTATTAAGTGTCTGAGGTCGAAATCAAATTCAGATCTTCTTGACTCCAGATCCAGTGCTCTAACCATTGTACCACCTAGCAGCCTAGGTACTGCGTAGAGACCTGGCTTTGAAGTCAGGAAGACCTGTGTTCAAGTCCCATGGCTGGTGTATATTGACTATGTGACCCTGGAAAAGTCATGGACCTCAGTACTCTAAGCAATTTCCCTAAGACTCTTAAGTTGCTGAAATGGTGCTGATCTTTTGTGATGGAGGGAATTTCCTTCCCTACGGGCTCCCTATACTGAGGAAATCACCAGTGCTTTATTCAGCACTGTGCCAGGCATGAAGGGGATAGAAGATATAAGGAGTAGCAGCTTTACATTCAAGGGCTTGCAATCTAGTAGGCACATACACAAATAAGCATGATGTGAGATAAATGTGATTGCAAAGCAGAAAACTAGAGAAAGTATGATTAAACAATACAATGGGAGAAAACTTTTCCTTGGGATGGGGAGGGGAAGGCAGTCAGGAAAACATTCACATGGCGAGTGTCACTTGGGCCCAGCTATGAAGGCAGAGAAGATGGGGGGACAGAAATGTGGCTTAGGCAGATTGCCCTGCAAAAGACACGGGGACAAGAGAGGGCTGGATATAATTGGAGGACATTTCCTCGTCCATTTTGGCTCTAAAGAGTTCTAGAGTAGTGTTAGTCTAAAGAGAGCTTGTAGAAGGCTTTGAATGCCAGGCTAAGAAGTTTCTATTTTCTATTAAATCAACTGA